CATAATTTCATTCCCAACGGGGGATTCTTTTTTTTTTGGATTTCTTATCAAGAAAATAGGGGATTTTTCATTACTTGAACTAGTACCGATTGATGGGAGAGACATGTGGATTAGTACAATTATTAGCATATTGATGATTCCAAGAGAGACCGTCTGGTTTTGGTGAAACTTCAATTGGAGTACTGTCGCAGTGTTTGTTATGTCACTCTGTATTTTATTCTTCACTATGTAATGTGTGCAAAATCATAATTGCAGTAAGCCTAGCACAATTGAAGAGATCTTGGCAATAACTATTAAACCTGGTTGGAAGAATGGAACAAAGATTACTTTCCCCGAGAAAGGGAACCACGAGCCCTTTGCTAGCCCAGGAGACCTTATTTTCGTAGTGGACGAGAAGCCCCATCCTATTTTTAAGAGGAACGGCAATGATCTGGTCGTCAATCAGAAGATTTCACTACTTGATGCTCTCACGGGGAAGACTCTCAACTTGACAACATTGGATGGACGAGATCTCACTATTACAGTCTCCGATATTGTCAAACCAGGTCATGAGATTGTGATTCAAAATGAAGGAATGCCCATGTCAAAAGAACCTGGTAAGAATGGAAACTTAAAGATCAAGTTTGATGTCAAATTTCCGTCAAGGCTTACTGCAGAACAGAAATCAGATTTGAGAAGGGCGTTCGGCAGGACTACCGATTAATGCAGGTTCGACTCAAGGATTATAAATTACTACCATTATATCTAATTTAGAAATTCAATGTAAATATTTAACATATTCACCTTAGAAAAGGTTACCCTGGATAGTAGGAGAAACAGATTGTGTGGTTATTTAACAATCTTTAGCTGCTATTCCAGCTTCACCTTGAAACTTTTTAGAGTAATATGATATCAGTAAAAGAAGAATGTAATAATGCTTCTTTTTCGAGCATTGATTATTACTTCATTTCTTGGGAGATATTTGTCTACTGGTTTATTTATCAATGTCATTGAGAAAATATATGTTGGTTTCAACGATTCCTCTTTGTTCCCATGAATTTCTTTTACTCTTTGCTGCTCGAATTCATGGTTTCCGAGACATTTTTTATGCAGTGTAAATCTTCATCATTATTAAACCAAATTCGAACATATTTCAAGATTAATAACCACTGACCAGATCAAAATTAAGTTATTTGATGACATAACACCAAATACATGACCATATTACTATGTTCTAATTCTTGCAGGTTGATCTGTATCAGATTCTATCTTTCTCAATCTTCTTTAGGATATCATCTTTTTAGCCCCACAAGCCTATCAACTTCTTTCCCTTTATTAGTATGAAAGTTGGCATTGCCTTCATTCCTAACTCCTGTGTAACATCCTGCATATGATAGTTCATTGCTAAGCATCATTTGTATTGACAACATATTTGCTTAACAATTTAATTGTGGAAATAACTTACATCCAACTCATCAACA